GGCGTGGCGTGGCGTGGCGTGGCGTGGCGTGGCGTGGCGTGGCGTGGCGTGGCGTGGCGTGGCGTGGCGTGGCGTGGCGTGGCGTGGCGTGGATGGAGTGGAGTGGAGTGGAGTGGAGTGGAGTGGAGTCGAGTGGGCGAGTCGAGTGAGCGAGTGAGGGAGTGAGGGAACGAGTAAGTGGAGTGGAGTGGGGATGGGCAGTGGGGAGTACTGGGGAGTAGTGGGGAGTGAGAAGCGAGTAGTGGGGAGTCGGGAGTAAGGGGGCGGAGACGGGAGGTCGGTTGGAGTGGAGCGGAGCGGAGCGGAGTGTGATGGAGTGTGTGAGTGGGAGAGTGAGAAGGCAAGGGAAAGAGAGAGGCACACAGACTGATTCGGACAACCTATCCTTTCCACTCAGCTGCGTAGTGAGCGTGGGAGATGGCGACGACATCAGGCCTCGGAGTGAGAGCTTCAGGTCAAGGCACCCTTTCAAAACTATAAACATAATCAAAACTGAACTATACTGACCAAACGAAAAACTAGTTATGCGGATTGTAGTCATGTTAATGATAATACTCTACGTAGTTCTTTTAACACTGAAACCATTTAGAAGAAGAGCAAGAATACTAATAGGATCCTGCTTATGAAGACCCCAGAATATGGTACCTCTAATTTGTGAACCGTGCCTCTTAGGCGCTGATGTTGGCTGTTTTACGCCTTCAGTCAAACCGCCTAGCGCTTTCGAAGCAGGGGCACTTCCGTGTTTGGTTTAGTCGAGGTCTCATGAGCTCCAGACAGACCCGAACGCGGGGCTGTTCTAAAGGAGTGTCCCAGCCGACCTGGGACAAGCCCCAAATAGGCTCACGACCGCAGAACCTCAGGGCCCCTAGACAAAAAATGAGATCGGCAAGAGACAACTTAAAGGCTCCAAAAGGGAGGAGCCCTAAACCCAAACCTCATGCGAAGACTTGCATATTCCCAGCCAAAGCTTCGCCATCTCGGCTGGCCAGTCACTGAAGTCCGGACTTACCTGGCTCAGAGTCACCGGCCAAAGCTTTTTGCAGTGTCGAACGAGTCGCCAGGCAGGGCCGAGACAACACAATCTGGAACAAAATTCACGATGTGTGCCCCAAGGGGTTCGGGGTTCAGGGACCAAAGTTAGAGTCACTGAGTACTTAACCTACACTCAAAACCCGCACACTAAACTCGCTGAACTCTCAGCTTGCAGACGACATGGAAAAGCCTCCTTCCCATCAAGCTAAAGGTCCAAGCACCCACCCGTTGAGATCAACAGCATGCAGACCCATCAATGGTTCCGGTTTAGCACAGTTTATCTTGAAACCGTGCGAGTCTTTACTTTTCCGCACCAGGAACTCCAGACTAGAACCTGGACCCAACCCTGCAGTGTAACTGTAACACCTAGGCCCGAAAAGAGCCGACCAGCATGCCCCAAGCACCGCACCGGTGGCGGCTTGAAGCGATGGGGTCCGACAAAAGAGACCGGCGAAACGCGCTGAGAGAAGACCTTAGAGTCTTGGTTTGGGAGCTTAGAGATTACGGGTTTGGAAAGGAATCCGAGGTTCTTTAGGGATTACGCTTCAGGGCTTCAGGCTTAAAAAAGACTCCTAGGTGTCGAACGGAATCCCAAGGTCCTAGGCCCTAGGCTCCAGGGTTTAGATAGGCATTGGGGTTGAGGAAGAAATCCTACGCTTTTGGGCTTGAGCTTCGGGGCCCGGGTTCGAAGGGAACCGTGAATCCTGACTAACAGCGGCTTTCTGCATATAGGATTCACTGCCTTGAAACTTTGAAGCCAAGGAAGCCAAAGGGTCTGCGGATCAGCCAAGTTTAGGCTTAGTAAGCTTGTGGGTTCAGGGTTCGCAGGGCCGACGCGACACATTGATGCATTCCAAACTCCAAGCAAGCCTGAACGTCTTACGTAAAGCCCCTAGCCAAGTCCGAGATCTGAAGGGCTCTCATCATCTCTCATCACTAGGAGTCACTAGGACTCGGGTCACGCTTCATTCAGGTCGTTTACTGAAGCCTCCATCGGCGCAGGAGGGTTATGGTTAGAGCTTTTTGACCAGCCGAACCTTTCTTACTGCAGGGATAACGTCCTGCAGGGCATTCCAAATGTCGAAGTGCCACACCGTAAGGTGGCTTCGCGCATGCGGCGCTCGAAAGCGATCCTCGTAACCTCTCCACTCCATCTTTGTCAATCTCACCCAGCCCTGCAGAGTATGAACTTACACCCCATAAACGCCATCAACCCCCAAAGCAGCGATTGCATTCCGAGCCTAGGCAGACCCAAACAAAACCTCTAGCCCTTGCCGATGAACCCGGAGCCCGGAAGCTCTAGGCTCTAGACTCTAGACCCCTCCCTATACCCCGTCGAGGAGCCGGATCGAAGAGGATCCGCTGGCCCCGGTACATGCAAAACCTCGGCTTGACCACAAAGACGGGCTAAGGTTTAGGACTCATTTCTCACATTTGCCTAGGAACTATGGCTCAAAGTTTGCCTACTTAACTGTTAAACCCGGAGTATTTAAAAGCCCAAACTCTCAAAGACGATGCCGCCCCAAAATCGCCAAAGTATCGATTGAAGTTTAGGGATTGGCTCAAGGTTTTTGGGGTTCAGGCTGCAAGGCTTCCAACTTCGGGACTTGGGATTTGGAGCTGTGGCTTTGACGGTGTGCCTGTTTCCGTTGATGGTTTCGGCACTCACGATTAGGCCCAAAGGCACAGCCAGTACAGCACTGCGATGCGCATGGAAAGCCAACAGCGACAAGGTGGCATCCACTCTGCATGCCGCTGCATGCTGGCAGGTTGAATGGGGGTCCCGAATTCAGGAATTGAGTCTTCAGGCGCCTGCATGCTCCATGTTCTTGTGCATTGGTGAATGCATGAATGCAGTTTGGTTGAGGGAGGCGCCGTGGTTCTGAATGTCGTGATTTTTCGCAGATGTGGAGACAGGTGCACGTTGAATCTTGCAGGAGACAGCCGACGTTTTGCGATGTGCAGGTTTGAGAATGCGCAGGACCACCAGTAGACATGGAGGGATGGCTTTGTTTCGCTGTCCGCAGGACACCGTGCTTTGGAAGCTCCGGTCAATGCAGAAGCTGTGGCTAGTATGCTGTCGGCGTCGTACTTGACTGAGAGCTATGCAAACTCTTGGTGCCTTTCGGCCTTGCCGGGTACCTTGCTGATCTGGCTCAACCAGTGCGTTCCGTTGAAGATTCTGGGCACGCCACAGCGCTCTGGGGAGGAATTGTTGCACCGCTGTTAACTTGAAACGACGTGGGAACTATGGGGTCCCCCTGAAAAGGGCGGGTACTTGGGTTCCGGTTCAGGGTGAAAGAGTTAGCGTCAAACTAGAGACTACAGGGCCTATGTAACCAACCAGCTGGTATTCGACCTTCCTCACCTACCTACTACAGCCTTTTGCTCTGAAATACTAATTACAAATTTGCATGCATTACGCACCCCCGATTCTCAGCTGACGTATGTTGTGTTTTTCAGAGAACCTGACTGTGACCGAGGCCATGTTTGAGCAGCATCTGCATACACCCTGGCCTCTTCCAATGAAAACGCAGCCATTGGTATTTGGGGTTTAGGGGTCGGCCATTCTGGCCTTTCGGCTGGGGATTTAGAAGAAAACAAAATTCGGATTTGGAGTGCAGGCCTGGGTTGTAAAGTCTGGAACTTGGAAAGACGGTGTGCCAGGAAGGTTTGGAGGCCGGTTGAACGGATTTGGGGCCTGACGCGTTCTCTGCCAAGCTAGTTTGGCATGTTTGGTTTGGGGCTATGGTAGGGCAGCTTGTGTCAGTGCAAGAGATGCACGCAAGCCGCACCCTGTCTAGCAGCAGAGTGGTCAAGGGTGAGGGTCTGCAGGACTCCTCGAGCAATGACGACCATTTCATGGTACTGCAACGATGAGGAAACCGCACATCAAACCCAGCTATGATGCTGCCAGAAGCGGCAGGCCAAAGCCCAAACACTGCATCTTACACGCTTTTGCCCCAAGCGCCCGAATGTCTCCAAGCAGCACGGACGCATGGCCCAGCCACAGTGCTGCCGGCTCCCCAATGTCATGGATAGCGCGGAGCTCCTCTGTGTGCAACGACCGGTACAGATTTCAATCAATCTCCTGGTGTTTTTCAATGCCAGGCCAGGGCTGAGATCTTCTGGGCTGACAGCCTCGGGCCTCGGGGTGAAGGTTCTACGTATGTGGATCTTGGGACCTGCTTCGCCAACTCCAACGCGGCTTGTCATCACAACCTGGTCTCTGTGTTCTCCGACCGGGTGACTCTGTCTTGAAAGCCGTCGCAACTTGACTGGGGATTCGATGTGTTTTGCGTACGTATGTAACCCTAGCAGGACAACCTCCACAAATGCTTCGCTGTGTAGAAAGGAAAACTGGAAAACCGCTCTTTCCTCAAAAAGTCTTGACTTTAACAGTTGGCTTTAACAATTTAAAAGAGCATCGGTCAACTTGACAGTATCTGCGAACTGCAACTATTCAATCTCAGTTGTTTTTTGTCTTCATCTTGTTAGAAACTCGGTATGCTCCAGTTTCTATATTTGTCGCATGGCAAACTTTGCCAGTGGAGAAGGTCTTGTCCACAGGCGAGCAGGATCGTGCACGCTTTGCCTGTCCCACGTCACTGCGATGGCGATTGGTCAGTTCTTAAACCTGCGATTGCGCCGGTTGATCGCGTTTCTTAAGCCGGCCCCCTCATTGCGATTGATCACGCTTCGTAAACCCACTCCCTGAATCGGCGTGGGCGCTGGATCACAAATTTGAACCCGGCCCTTACCACGCGATGGCGGTTGCTCACATCCTTTAAGCAAATACAGCAGAGGGCAAAAAGCATACAGCATAATGAAAAAGACAGGGAGCAACAATGTAGAAGAACACCAATAAGCCAAAACAAATGCACCAAGCAAAAGAACAATTTGAAGCAAACCGCGTAAGACAAAAAGCGCAAAGCCGAATGAACGAGGAAGGAAGCCCAAATCGAAAAAACACATAAACTAGAATTCCTGGTTGAATCCTTGCGAAACCCACTCACTTCGCACTAAGCCCGAAATCCTAAGCCGCAACCCAAAGATCGCAACCAAAACCGTCTGCGAGGCTGACAGCCCCTTTAGCCTAAATCCTGAACCAGTCCTCCCAGGCCACGGGCACTGGGGAAATGCAGGAGCCATCTGTTTCGCTCACCTCGACCTCGAAAGCATGGCTTTGGCCCCCGGGCTCTGCTAGTGGGCTTTGCAAAGCCTTGGAGTAGGATGTTGGGGCCCAAGACGTCGCACTGAGTTACTGTTTTGCCACAGGGGCTCAAAGGTTTGCAGTTTGCAGGGCTCAGACAGCTTTGGGGCCTAAGCCCCTGAAACTCCTGAGAAACCGTGACCTCATTCCTAAACCGGGGTTGGAGTTGAAGCTTGTGCGCTTCGTCGGTTTTGACTTCAGCTCTGGACTCCTTGAACGTACAAGCAAATCATCCCTTCAATTCCCTCAGCACACCTCTTCAACCCTAGACCATTGGCCCTCGAATCCACTGAATCCTTGACACTTGCGGCAGAAGGTGAGACATGTCAGCTTCATCGGACAAGAACATTTTCGGGTTTGCAGATCGGTTTTGGGATCGGGATCGATCATGCACAAGTTTTGGGATTCTGAGTCGCACTGGGTGCTACAAGTAGAGCCCCCCGTCAGGACGAAATCTGTCTGCACTACGTGTCAACGCGGGAACATTGGACTGAGCACGCAAACGCGAACAAAACGCTTCACCCGCAACAGCCCCAACCCTCAACGCCCAGATCTGAAACCCTGAACCCTACAATCCAAAGCCCCAAGCCCGAAGACCTCTGAACGAGAGGGCTCTGAGTCCCAAACCGGGAAACCAAAGAGTCTGTAGTCGAAAAACTTCGAGACTGCAACTCCTGAATCGGCCCAAACATGAAGCCGACGCTACCTCTGGGTCAAAGCGGAGCCAGTCGCGGAAAAAAGCGGCCATGTCCTGACAACTGAGTGGTGTCTGGCGGTTTGGGGCCGTTGCATGTTTCGGTCCATGCGCCGTCATCGGACATTCGCGGTCCTGGTTTACAGGACTAGGACTTTGTCTGCCGTCGACACCCAGGGCCACAACCCCCAACTCTGAAACCTCAAATACAAGCCGCCGCCCCGCCGGCCCACGCCGAAAAAAAGAAAATGAGCTTCTCTGCATCCTGTGCGAAGTCCAAGAACATAACCCTGAAGAAAAAGAAGCCAAAGCTGCCATTCCCATTCTCATCTTGAATCCCTCGACACCTGGACAGTCGGCCAAAAGAGGCCGCAACGCGCAGCAAATCTGGAATCTTCGACTTCCTCGTCAGAGACTTTCTTGCCCCGGACCTTCGACACTTGGACCGATTACCACCTGCCCGAAGAAAGCCTCGACAACCATCCGATTGTGCCTCGAAATACCCTCCTCAGCTCCATTGAAGCGTGTGCTAGCTGCTAGAGCCATTGGTGTGAATGTGCATGACTTCGGCTCCTTCGGCGTCTTTTCGCAGGGATCCTGGCCGTCCCTGAGCCTCGCTGGAGTGATTTGGAAAGCTTCGGCACTCACGACTCAGACTCGGCGCAGGGAGGCGAGATCGCCAGTGGACGTTCTACAACAAGGCACATGAACCACCCGGGGAGCTGCGGGGAAGAAAGGAGGATCGTGCAGCTTTCCCACTCACTCAGGATTCGACATGTTTTCTATATAACTTTGAGAGTGCTAGCAGCGCTATCAATGGGAGCAATGCTAGCAGGGTTTCATGTGCTGCATGCCGCCTAGAGGTGCTTTCCGAAGTTTCAAGACATCGCGCATCTAGCATAGACGACCCCCTGCTTCCGCAAAAGAAATGCCAAAATTGAAGAGCCCGAAACTTTTGCAGATACTGGAAATCAAGGAAAGATTTTTCTAACAACAAAAACCGACACAAAAACAATAAAACAAGCAACCAGCAAAACCTACAACACGGGGGCCTCAGAAATCCAACTAAGCCTTATCAGGTGAAGCATGAAACCCAGCACATGGCAGTGAAAGATAAGGGGAGACGAGCAAGTCAACGAATTACGGTAACCCCGCACGGTTCAACGTAAACTAATAACTACTAAACACAGCCCTGCCCCGGCCCTGCCTGCCCCGGCCCTGCCTGCCCCCTGCCCCTGCGCCCTTCCCCGCGCCCTGCCCCTTGCGCCGTGGCGGGACGTCCCTGGCATCCTCCCAGAACCCCTAGAGCCTTCCCGGGACCACGCCGGGAAGGCTTCTGGAATCATTCGATTCTTGTTTCTGTTTAACTTCAGTGTATATCTTGTCTTTTTCCCAGAAAGAAAGCCCGAAACAAAAACACAAAAAAACCTGCCCGCCCAGCCCCGAGGTTCCGCCGCGACCCCGGCCTCCAGCCCCGCCGGCCAGGACCCCCCAGCCGCTGCTACTACTGCTCCTGCTCCTGCTGCTNNCTACTACTACTACTCCTAGTACTGCTACTGCTACTACTCCTACTCCTACTACTACTCCTACTACTACTACTACTACTACTACTACTACTACTACTGGCCGTAGACGGTTTCCTCGTTATCGGGCTGTGCGCTGCTACTGGTTGTGCACGCTACCACCATCGCATCATCATGATCATTCGAGTCTGGAGACCACGGGTTCATGAAACGTCCCGTGGAGGGATGCCGCAACGGGCGCGGCAAGCTCTCGTCATTCCTGAGATTCCGAAAAAGGAGCATCGGATGTACTGAAACGCACTGGCGTACTACGATCCACTATCATATGCGCAGATGTTATGTAAAGGACTAGGACTTTTAAGCTGCGGCTCTGCTATGTGAGAACTGTAAATGCTCAACAGGATGCGGACAACATGAGGACAGCACTCAGAACAAAGGCCAGAAAAACCAGGAGGACAAGGAAGAACACTTTGGGAACAACAAGTATACGTGCAAGGAGCCCAGGAACGGTAGCAATGGTAAGAATGCGAACGACGAAGAATGAAAACGATGGCGACGACAACAACAACAACGAAAGATTGACTACCTAAAACGCCCATGAACACAATGAACAAGATGATGCAGCTTCCTGGGAGCAAACAATGAGCCAGTTAGACTAGCCATCCTCATCCGAGCACGCTACTTCTCCGTCCAATCCTGCTCCTCTGCCGAGAACTACGTACGTTGTTGCTTCCATCAGGCCGTTACGATTCTGCACATTTCAATTATCATGGTCGTCAAACTCACCAACAACAGTCGTACGAGCAAAACGCGTTACGGAAGTTCGGCCACTGTTGCCAACTATCATTCTTGCTGCTCCCTTTATCGTTCTCACCTTGTTGATGTGCTCGCATTCAAATTAAGACGGACCAACACAGTCAACACGGCTCCTCTTGCGAGACTACTGCGTCTCGTCAGCGATCTTTCTCGAGAGAGGATGCCCTCGTCATCTGTAGCCCGGTTGGTTCAGGGCATTTGGGGTCACAGCACCGACCAACACAGCTTCGGCACTGGGTTTCGGCGGAAGACTGGCAGCGGCGACAGAGGCGCAGAGCCAGGCCTTCCGTGGAGTCGGGGCCCTCACAATGCTGGAGTTTTCCGTTCCTCTGCGGTTGTGGGTTTGAGATGAACATCCCACGCTCTAGGGGGCCTTTCATGGGAGCGTCACGGACAAGACGACCTACGCCCCAAACCCTGAACTGCCAAGTGCCCTGAAACACGATGCCCGAAACCTCTGGCTTTCCGGAGCCTCCAAATCCGAAACGTGTCGCCAATTGCCATCACCGGCTCAGAAAGCAAACCGACAAGGGTATAGGACCTATAGGATTTGAAATTACCACGGGCGCCACTGAGCAGCTCCAGTCATATCGGGTCCAAATGCTGATGTGACATTATCACACCGTCCTAGCACCAGGGCCTCCGCTTGCTAGCACGCCACTTTGCCGGGTCAGCAGCCGTGACGCCATTGAGTCCGGATGGATAGAAGTCTTTGGGGCTTGGGATTACGGGTCTGGGCCAGAGGGTTTTCTGAGCTTATGTTCGTGCTCCGTTCAGGTCTCTTGCTGATTTCAGGTGTTGTCTTCAGCGTTTAGCGTAGTGATGCTTCGCATAGCGGCTTTGGGTTGCCGTCTTTGGTCCTGGAAATCTACTTTGAGGTGACAAGTCATAACCACCCTTCTCGCAAACACCTTTAAATTCCTCAAACCTACACCCCCATGCTACGCCCGGGTCTCTACTTTACATCTGGGACAGGAACTGGATCACAGCCCTCCTGCGAGCAGAATGCCCCAGACCCTTCGTTTCACACGAGCCTTGACCTGGAAATTTGGGCTTGGGAGCTTGGAGCTCTTCTCGTGTAGCGCTTCGGCTGCACTTCGGGGTTCAGGGGTTAGGGGCTGAGAACTGAAGTCAAATCTTGGGAAGTGCAGGACCGCAGGCTGCAGGAGTTCTCGGAAAATCTGGGGTGCCGGAGTCTACGGTCCAGTGGTAGGGTGTCGGAAGTGAGGGTGTCTGGTGATCAGGAGCCGGGGGGGCGCAAGATTTTGGAGCTTGGGGGTCAAGCAGGGCTTAAGGCTTCGCGATCGCTCCATTCCAACCCCATTCACTTCTGCACGTGTGCTTCGATCGTCTCATCACTAAGCACCCGCTTCGGCACCGACGCCAAAAGCATGAACAGCAATCCCAAGCCATAACACATTAAGCGTTGAACCCGAACCCACCCAGTTTCCCAAAACGAGCCTCCGTCATCCATTGATCGCCTGGCCATCTACCCCCCATACAGGCCCGACTTGGCGTCAAAGCACGAGGGCATTGGATGGTTGGACCCTAACCCAAACCTTATATAAGCCGAAACGGTAAGCCCTTTAGCCTCTTAGCCCCTCCTAAACCCTGAGCCCTGAGCCCGCGTTTTGGCTGCATCTGGCCTTCAATGCCATACCCCAAGTCTGGAAAACCCCTCAAGCCCTGATGCTGGGCACCAGGTCGGCTTCAGGTTTTTCTAAGGGGGGTTGTGAGGCTGTCGGGGTAAAGCTTCAAAAGGCTTAGTTGCGTGTGTTTGGTGTTTCGTGTCTAAGGCCCCCCACCTCAGGACTCAAGATGCATGAAGCTGCATCAGTTCAGCCTAGGGATCTTGAATCCAAGCATGGACTCTGAGATCTTGTTGGGCCGCATTTTCTGTCGACTGAGACTGTACTGGAAAGAGGTGCTGGTCAGGTGCAACGTTTGATTTGAATATTTCCACCCGTCGCAACTTGAAGCGAATCACTGCGCGCAACATTCCGGGCGTGCGAGATGGGCAACATGTCGGGGTCAGTTAAAACCATACAAGTCGACAAGCAAAAATAAAACAATCATCATAACGAACATACGACAAAGACGCGTGGCGCATCATGACATAATGGCGGTATTTTTCTAGTGAGCGGTGGCACCAGCAGACGAGGAAAAGGAAAAACAGTGTCCGGAATCGGACATCGAACGGCACTTTGGACCAAACACTCTTATAGGGTTTTGTGCAACCCGCCTGGATCAGCTGACTGAGTCGCACTGCGAGGAACTGGAAAGGGAGTTGGCAAGACAAGGATGCAAAGCAAGCCCCACGGGGCTACAGTGCAGCGGACAAGCAAGTGACCGGCGACCAACAACGAAAGGCGAGGACTGCCGAAGAACGTTTCTCTGAAGCCTGCGAGACTCGCTCTTTGGGCAGAGTCCAAGCCGTCAACAATCGAGAAAGCACACGCCCCAAACGGACCCCGTGAGTTTAAACCCCGGCCCCACACCCCTCAAGCCCTGAACCTTAGAGAAGCCCCAAAGCTTAAAACCCTTGGCCCCAAAACGCCTAAAGCTTCTTCTCTAAACTCGAAATGCCAGTATCCCTAAACCTTCGCCCACCTTCTCCCAGACTTCATCGACGGTCCTCAGTGGGTTTGGTGTCCACAGCTCCGTGGCTTCAAAGCGAAGAGTTTCGAGAGTTGAAGGCTGCGAAATTTACGAATCGGAGCTGCAAGCAGTCCAGCGGAATCCTGCACAAGCAAAAACGAATCCTCACGGAGCGGTGCGGACCGAGTCACACAAGGCCTGAGGTCCGAAAACATGGTGAGCCCGGAGTCGGAACTTCCCTTTCGCCGAGTGAGACACGAGCGACGGAGTTAAAATGAATACACCACGTGACAGTCGGAAACGACAAGAGCCGGGATAGTGGCTTCAAAATATTTTTGGCATTGAAATGCAGAGCTTTTTCCCGGTATCAGAGGCCAGGTCAAGCATTAAAAATACCTTACAAGGGCAGAGTAGACTGAGACAGAAAGTAAGAGAGACAAAAGACTGACGGAAAGCCCAAATTCTATTGAGCTTGAAAGCGAAAGAGCGAGAGACAGAGAAAGACAGCAAGAAGGAACGGATGAAAGTAAGAAAGGAATGAGAGAGAAAGACAAAGGAGAGGAAGAGAGAGAAAGGCCACCTCCTCCCAACCACCCCAACCGCACTAAAGCCAAGCCAAGCCAAGCCAAATCAAACTCAGCCAAACCAAACGGGGCCAAGCCCAGTGCATCCCTAAAAAAATACATATACATACACATAAGAAGCAAACACTATAAATGTATGCTTATGGTGTGTGTGTGTGTGCGTGCGTATCTGTCTCAATTTTTGCCCGCACTTTAAGCTAAGATGTTAGAAATATTTCTCTGTATATATATATATACATATTGTCTATACATAATGACGAAAGTAGGTATAAGCGTGTATAGGTTAGACAGAGAGAGAGAGAGAGATATATATATATATATATATACACATATATGTTTACATAAGCACATACAGATACAAAAATCTGCAAAATATGCATACCTCTACATATTTGTATATATATATATATTATACCCACACATATACATACACAAGCGCATTTTTAGAGCGAGACAATGCGGGAGGGACTGAGACAGAGACAGAGCTAGAGCTTGCCAGCTGGCTGGCAAGCTGGCTAGGTTGCTAGCTAACGAGATAGATAGAGAGGGATTCTCTGTGTGTGTGTGTGTGTGTGCGCGCGGGTGTGTGTGTGTGTGTGTGTGTGTGCGTGCGTGTGCGTGTGCGTGTCCGCGTGCGTGTGCATGTGTGTGTGTGCGTGTGCGTGTGCGTGTGCGCGTGCGTGTGCGCGTGCG